TTATTTACGTGCCCCGTTCGGCAACACTGCTGCGCCATCTTGAAAAATACACCATTGCATAACCCGAAAAATGAAGGGGCATTCATACACGATTGCATAACCCGCATATTGAAGGGGCAACATGCAATACTTTCTTTTTACACCGTTGCCATATTGAACAATAATCCCTATACAACGCTGTAATTTAATTCGTATTTTTCTGCACAATTTGGCTAAAAACTTTTGCGCTAAAGTCGCTATTTTTACCCTACTTCTGTCTTATTTTTTTACACCCTTGACTGCCATGTTTAATTAATCAGCTCAAAGCTATTTCGGCGATTAATCATTAATTGTTAGATCGAAGAAGAAATTTTCTTCGGAAAGCTATGCTGAATTGACTTTGCAACTGAACTTGTGAGAGCATCAACTGAGGCAAATTTTGCAGAAAGTTATACATGGTAAGTGATAATTATTTCAACGCTCTCTTAGTTTTAAAAAGAGATGAGTTTTAAAAATCAAAATCTACACAACTGTAGATATCCCTGAAAAGAAATACAATTGTCGAATCCCAAGAAAAGAAAAAGAAGAAAGAAAAGAAACACGAAGAAATTCAATGATAAATTGCAACTACGGTAGGTACTTATTTCAAATTAATTGCTCTAAAAATTGTTCCTTCAATGAGTAAATAGGCGACATTCTCAACACTACAATGCAATAGAAATTCTAGGTGAGCTATGAGAATTGTTGAGCAGCTAGATACGGGGCCCGCGAAACGCTCGGCGCCGGGAGACGGTTGTGTGTGTTTCAATCGACCTACAGCTATAACCGTAGAAAAAAAACCCTATTTAAAACCTTATAGATATTTTGAAACTACTACTTATAATGCAGGACCCAAATCAAGGAATTTTTAAATAAATGAGGCATAAGAGAGAAATTCAATAAAAAGGTCATTTTTAGGTAGACACACCCTTTACACATAATCCTCGTTCTTGGGAGTGTGTACATTCATTGCGCTCCCGTCATTATTTCCATCCATTCCTTGAGTTTTCATCCTGCCCTAGTGGAAGTGAACCTCATGCGGCGTGAGGTCTGCAGGTGATTAACCATCCGCGGCGGGGACTAACCTCCTGCAACCTCCTGCTAACCTCAAGCAACCTCCCGTCGCATGAGGTGGACACCCTGTTCCAGGAAAAAATACGAGCAACCTCCCGCGAACCTCCTGCGAACCTCATGCAGACCTCTCGCAAGCCTTAATCACCTCAAGCAAGGGCCTGCAACCCCATGCAGCTTACTAAGGCTTGCGAGAGGTCTGCATGAGGTTCGCGGGAGGTTACTCGGTTTTTTCCTGGAACAGGGTGTTCACCCCATGCGACGGGAGGTTGCTTGAGGTTAGCAGGAGGTTGCAGGAGGTTAGTCCCCGCCGCGGATGGTTAACCACCTGCAGACCTCCCGCCGCATGAGGTTCACTTCCACTAGGGTGATCCGACAACTGAGTTTCCAAATGAATTAAATTACGGACCTGGCATTCATACAGTGCTATTGAAAACATATGTTGCATCCAAATGCCTCAAAAAAATTTAGATACCTGGTAAAAGTAAAAAATCGGCAATATGTTGAGGTATTTACTATATATTTAAAGACAAGACTTTACCCTTGTATCAATTGAAGAAAATATTTTTACGGATTTTAATAAATAAATATAAAAAATTGCAAAAAATAAAATAAAAAAAAATTAAATTAGAAGCATCTTTATTTTTAAAATCAATTTATTATTTTATGTTTAAAAAGACGAGTTTTGTTGTACGAATAAACTTGGCAGCAGTAATTTTTCCAAAACCAATCGTTATCTGCGACTGACATTAGCCCTTGATATTTTGCCTAGATACGAGTAAAGATACCCATTGAAGTCGTGTACGGAGAAAAAAGTACTAACATTTTAACTGTTGCGACTGTTTAGAGAACAGCCGGCTGTGAAAAAACGGCACAGCATCCGGGTTATTAAAATAACATTACCTTTGTCTATTATTATTACCGGCACTTTGCTGTCACATTGACAGTAAATGGATGTAACAATGATAGCATAATCTGCTTAGTAGGGTAAAAATACCGACTTGAGGCCAGTAAATTATCCAACAGCGTTGCAGGATGAAGCAAAAAAATACGAATTAAATTACAGTGTTGTATGGTGATTATTATATTCAATATGGCAACGCTGTAAAAAAGAGAGGATTGTATGTTGCTCTTCAATATGCGGGTAATGCGATGGTGTAATGTAGCCCCTTCAATATGCGGGTTATGCAATGGTGTATTCTTCAAGATGGCGGTATGCAACAGCGTTGCCGGACGGTGCACTTCAATAAATGATTTATTTATGGGTGAAATTTTGCAACATCGAATTTCACAGTGTTGCCAGATGTTGCAAGAAATTAGTTAACTTTTCGATACAATGTTGTCAGATTGTGCAAAAAATCGGATTTTTGGACTTGTAAACATTTTCGGCTTCGAAAGACCGTCTCCTCCAGTATGGGCCTGGTATCGGAGACTGCAGAGTAGGGTCTGATCCGGGAAATTAGAAAAATTTCGGAAAATTACCCTCCTCCGATCCGCCGCGGACCGATGCGATTCTTTTTCACTATCGAAGATCGGAACACTGTACGGACCGAATTTTGATACGAGTTTTTGTTTTTGAGCTTTCGGACTTGTAAAATTGTGGCGGCATCCACGATAGACCATGTCTTACAGTATGGGTCTGGTATCCGAAACTGGAGAACTGGTATCTGGTCTGGGTCTGATTTGGGAATTTCAATTTTTAGTAGTGCGCGCTTGGAGATGCGTATCGGTACCTTCTGTTTTGGAACGAGTGACTGGGATTGGATATTGCAATGTTCAGTTTGATGAATCAACAATTTTTATTATGCTACAATTTGGAACAGTAAATAGAAAAATCACATAAAGAAAGCTACACAGGTTAAATAATCCAGGCCGATACATCCTTGTATCGCCCGTTGGACATACATCGGGCAGAGAAACAGCGTTCTGAATGATTTTGGCGCGCTCTAACTTGTTCAAGAATTCACTTTTGCTTGTCAGAATGAGTATAATAGAGCATGTCACGAGAGACCAGGATTCCTTATTCTTGAAGAGTAAGTTTTGGAAGTTTTCGACGGTCATAGAGCATCCCCGACTTCTGGAGAGTGGAAGGATTAGGTCTCTTTCCGAGAGCCGCTCTCCTCTCTCTGGTGTACAATGCTTTGCGAATCGCACTCAAAAGTCTGCCTATCGTCCAGTCCCGTTCGTCTATTTTCTTGTACCCCTGCTTTAGGAAGTACATTATTTCATGCTCGTCTGCGACACGTTCTAGGAGATGGCAAAATCTTTCCGTTATCTCAAGTAACCCATAACACCCGACGGGATCGGAAGTGTCTATTGAGCTGAGTTTAAGATGGTGGTTCACCGAAAAAAATGAAGACGTCAAGAAAACGTCTTTTGGTTTGTTCAGAAAACTTCGGTTTTTCTGTTGTCGTAACTTCTGTGCCGCTGCGGCAGCAAACTCTAGTTGTCACACTAACCACTCAAAAAGATGCTGGCTCAACCCTGGTAAAAATGATCAGTTGAGATGTTATCAGTTGACCGTCAACCGTGTTTTGGTGCGAAAGAATCAGTTGACATCAGTTGACATCAGTAGGTATCTGATCAGTTGATGTCAGTAGAAATTGTCAGTTGACGTCAGTTGACATCAGTAGATATCTGATCAGTTGATATATATTCAAGTCGCTTTACAACGCACTCTGGCGTTCTACGACCCCCAAACGCCACATATGCCTGTCGCTGCACATATGCTCGCGATCCACTGTGATCCTAACCTAATGCGAGGAAGTTGCCGTCCCCAAAAAATCAAAACAATAACAAATCGAACCAATTCCAAGTTTGGATTTTTTTATCACTTGGAACACTTGGATCGGTCCGCATCGCTCAGGATTCCGATCCAGCGCGTTCCACTGCGATCCACCCTGATCCGCGATAAAAAAAAAAGGCCTATGATGGTCGGCTCACGAATGAGGGTTGTTGTCATCGATGGCTGGTGAGCCACCGACAACCCCAACAGTCACTTGCTGGTAAGGAAATAAGGACTCTGTTATTGTATCGAGTGGGGGGTCGAAACGATCGCAAATGCCGTATACTACGTATACGCGCCAGAACGTGAAAAAGTCAAAAAAATTATTTTAATTTTTTATTCATTGGTTTTTCAGACACAAGCAATACTACAAACTGATGGAGGAGAGGCTGTGGGAGATTCTCTCCCAGGTTTACGTCCCCTTAAGGTAAGAGAATTTTCAAACTGCGTAATTATCTCGGTAGTCAAGCCACAAATTAGCTCACCATTCTTCCTATTTTCCGAGAAACTCTGATCCATGTTAAAGGGGACGGCAATCCTAAATTCTTGGGGGGGGGAGGGGGTTGCAAAGTGAAAATCAACGTGAGATATTTTGCTGAAATATAACATACTTTTCTCAGATAATACGTTTATAAAAACTGATGATCATATTTCAATAAGCTTTTTTAAATTAGCGCGGAGCATTCTTACGTTTTTTTTTTAAAAAACCAAGTAATGTAGACTCTTGGTATTCGTTGCACATAAACTAGAAAGCCCCAGAATGAGAAAAAACTTTGAATCATAATTATTGACGGATTAGTAAACTTTTTACACGCTTTGGAAAATCTTCGAAGTTCTCGGCAGTCACTTGCTGGTAAGGAAATAAGGGACTCTGTTATTAGCTATGTTTATGCGAGCCTCTAAACCTAACTTCAATCGAAACCTGAGTTTGAAACCAAGGTTCAAATAACGGCATAAACGAGACGGAACTAACGAAATGTAGGTCTCCGAAATTTGTGTTTGAAATCTTATTTTACACTCTATAGACTAGGTTATCGCACTCCGCATAAACGAACTGGAGGTTGAAATTAGTTGAAATTCGACTTCAAATGCGATTTTCAGGTGCGCGATCGGCAATATGGCGTATTTATTATCATAACGTTCGTAAACAACCGGTGCTTATCCCACGATTTAGCCTTAATTTTGCCATTATTCAACATTTTTTACAATCATAATTTTACTATAATTGTTGCTTAAGCACTTTTACGTGATTCCTGCAGTTATATGTGGCTTATTTATCCTTATTTAGCTAAACGTAGGACGTTATTTTCTAGTGAAGGTGTTTAGTGTCAGATGGAATCCAGGCTTATTACTGCTTTTTCAGATAATTCTTGCAACTCTAATCAACATTTTATGACCACAGAAGCAAAGCAAGCAAAGAGCTTTACAGGCTACAATTGAGTAATAGCCTTACCTACCAGTTCATCATCTGCGGAGAACTTTTTACTGTATCCACACGATTTGCCTAGGATTTCAAGATAAGGCACTCTGCTTCCCTTTAAGTAGTGCACCGAATTTTTCATTTCAATCTACCGATTAAATCTAAAATCTGATCCAATCAGAGCTGTGTAGCTCTTGAATTTGTGTGTTATCCATGTATCTATTTCCTGGTTGTCCTACTGACAGTGAGAGACCAGCCACAACCGTGACCTGCTGACTTATTTCTTTGATCCAATCTCTTGTAAATGATGACTCAAATTCTGAGGCCATCCTTTATTGAAACTAGTTCAAAGTTATTGCTCCAAAGTATCGTCACTCTTCTCATATTGAGGTAGAAGGAAGGAGACTTTTTGGTGAGTGCTCTGTTATCCAAGATTTGCAATTTGAGATAAGATTACGGTTTTTATTAGGCGTGTAACAATTTTTGGTCATTGAATCACTAGTCAAAATTGAGCCTTGGCGTTAGAGGTGCATCAACTGTGGAAAGTGGCTCTGCCTGTGCAAAAATATCTTGTGACAGCAGTGAATGTTAGTAAATGCGCTTTACAGGTAGACTGAAAGCTCCATATTCCAATCTACCCGAATAATTAAATTCAAGAGCATTTTTGAATTGAGTTCATATCGAATCTTAATGGGAGAATAATATACAGCAAAATAATATCAATGGTAAGGTTGGATTTGTGTCTTAGGTTAGTGAAATGCAATGGCAGGTTCTGAAATCTTGTTTGTCAGTTGCTCTTTACATGAGTCACCTTTGAAAATCAAGTTTAAGAAAAAAAACACATAGGTAGACAAACAGGAGTAGGTAGCTTGCCTATTTTCTTCCTGTCTTGCTCATGGACTCGGAGAGCAGTCGGAAAGAGGGGTGAGAAACAGGATTTCAGCGCGTGTCTCTGGGAATGTGGAAACTTAAAATTTGTGAAGCGTCATCAGTTTGTTGAGATTGTCACCGTCTGTTGCCTCAAGAGAATTTAGACGATTCTGCTTCAGCGATACATTGTTGACCTATCAATATCCGCTTATTTTGATCATATTTTGAAGGAGCGATTCCCATAAGTATTCCCGATTAGTTATTTGTTTCACTACAATAATGGCAGACATACAATCTTTACGACACCATGGAGTGAAGGTGCGGTGCTTTACTGGATTAGCACTCCTACACTTTCAATGCCTATATCTACCTATTGTAAGATCATTAGAAGCTCAATAAACAATATGATGAATTTCTGCGCCTGCCAAAATTATTTTTAACATCACTAAAATTACCTATGGCAACTTTTCTGAACTCAGAATATAAGCTCGAGCATGATTTGAAGGGTTGTTGAGATTACTTAGGTATTCATTCAATTTTTAAATATGAACGTAAAGTGATTAAAAATCCACTGTCATTTTTCCAACTGTTGCTCAGAAAGTCAGTAAAGGCTTTTCTAGTGAAGATGAAGCCTCCGCTTATATATTGCGGAAAAATTGTGGAACATACACGGGAGAAAGAGTAATAATAATTTTTTTGAATCAATTCATAGTAAAAAAATTAAGTATAGCTTGTGAAAATGGCGCCAACGCATGAAATTCAAGTTCAATCGAAAATATGCGCATAAACAGTGCCAGAATCGGAAAGTTTGATTTCCCGCGAAAGTCGGGTTACAGCGCCCGCGTAAACCCGACGGCGAAAACTTGCATTACAAACTCGGGTTTCGTGAAAACTCGGTTTCGAGCCTCGCATAAACGTAGCTATTGTATCGAGTGGGGGGTCGAAACGATCGCAAATGCCGTATACTACGTATACGCGCCAGAACGTGAAAAAGTCAAAAAAATTATTTTAATTTTTTATTCATTGGTTTTTCCGACACAAGCAATACTACAAACTGATGGAGGAGAGGCTGTGGGAGATTCTCTCCCAGGTTTACGTCCCCTTAAGGTAAGAGAATTTTCAAACTGCGTAATTATCTCGGTAGTCAAGCCACAAATTAGCTCACCATTCTTCCTATTTTCCGAGAAACTCTGATCCATGTTAAAGGGGACGGCAATCCTAAATTCTTGGGGGGGGGAGGAGGGGGTTGCAAAGTGAAAATCAACGTGAGATATTTTGCTGAAATATAACATACTTTTCTCAGATAATACGTTTATAAAAACTGATGATCATATTTCAATAAGCTTTTGCTCGTCCTTAAATGCACCCTGTTTTGGAGATATTTTATCCCCTGGAGTTTGATTTTTGGAATTTGGATACATCTTATACATCATTTTTAAAGGAAATATAGCTATGTTATGTTATATGACGAATAAGTATCTTCAAAACGAACCTTACAGACTTGGCAGCGACTTTCCGTTGAATTTTTTTGATTTTGAGGGATTTTGGGAGTTTTTTGGGGTTTTGGGGGTGAAAAACAGGCGGGCTTTTGGCGAGCTTAGCAAATTCGGATTCTCCGTTATTTTCTGCGAATTTTATTGTATCCTTTGGTGCCCTTTGTTGCAAATTGTTTGAGGTACCCCCCCCCCCCCNATTTTACCATATCTGCCCCGGACTAATTTACGGATTTTAATGCCAAATAAAAAGTATCAGGTTTCGTGAAACAGATTATAGTCAAACAGCTAATATCCCACATTTCCCACTTATCACAGATTCACGATTGGGAATACGACCTATTTATGGCTGGAAAATTTGTAGAGAATCTTTTTTGGATTTGTTTGACACCATCGATCGAAAAAAATTGATTTTTAAAAGTCAGTTTGATTTTTCCCACTGAGTATTTTTTTGTCATGGGAACGGAGTTCCCCATGATATTACAATCGTTCCGTTGCTATCGCTATGGGATTCCCTATGCCTCTGCGACCTTGAGCGTTTCGCCCAGTCTTCGATTTTTGGTTGATTTTCCGATGTATCAAAAACCGTTGTATTTTTTAGCCAATCATGTTTCTACGTAAAGTTGTGTTGATTTCTAAAATTCGCTTTCAGCGAGTTTTTTTCCACCTTGAGATGTCGTGTCTGACTGGTGAATCTGCGCAGAACCACGAAGTTCCGATTTTGGGAAAATTCTTTTTTTTGGGAGGTTCTGATTGGTTACTTTTCGCCATCAGTTTTCTGTTCGTTAGTGCAAAAGATCGCCTACCTCGGTGCTCTTGAGAAGCCGCCATTATCCCACCTCAAATTTGAAAAATAGAAGTAAAGAAATAATAACCATCGTACAAGGTGGAAAATTGTTCTGGATGACTCGTTACGGACAAAGAAGTCAAAATCAGAGCTCGATTGATTGATTTAATTCATGGATAAACAAATATCGCCTCAGCTTACTGCCGCGATGGCAAATCCATGCTGAGATGAACCCTGAGAGACATGAAAACAGTGCGAGCCATGGCTCCTACAGCAATGCGCTTAGCTCATTTCTCTCATATCCCAAGCGTCAAGGTCTCTTGTGATAAGTCCCGCCCATTGCCCGAGTCTTTTGTATGCTATTTTTACTCTCCTACACGCCGATCCGCTATAGCCTAGTTGACTAAACCGCCTCATATTTTTGATTTTGTGCGGGCAATAGGCGATCGGGAGTTCGATACCCGACGATGGGTGTTACTTTTTAATGGTTGTATTGAAGCTTTTAGACTAATCATCAAACAATAATTAATACTAGATGATAAATGTACGAACATTTTCTCGTGAGTTAATATGTTAAACAAAAATACTGGAATATACCTCCTTCATATAATCAGCCACATGTTCTCCCAAATTAATGACGTTATTTTCTTTTTTCAATAAAATTAATTTGCATTCAACGTTCGTAAGTTAAGCAAAAAGTACCAATTGATACAAATAGAAAGACATGAAAATAGTATGTCTAACATTTCAGTTGTTTTTTTTTTATTTATTTTTTGTTTTTTTTCTTTTTCAATAAAACAAATTGACCGGGACTCGAATCATTGTATCTCTGAAGACAAAAGCTAAGTTTTTTGATACAGAAATACTAATATATTCATCCTTTATATAATCAGGGAGATGTTGACCCGAATATTGATGTATATTTTCTCTGTTCGCCCAAAT